GGGTTTATATCAGGGGGTAGTATGAAGGATATAAAGCAAACAGTGCTGGTTTATAAGGTATTTATTTATTTATTTATTTATTTTATATTTATTTCTTTATTTATATTTATTTTATAAATTTATCTATATTTATTTATTTATATTTATTTTATAAACTTATTTATATTTATTTATTTATTTATTTATTTATATTTATTTATTTATTTATATTTATTTATTTATTTATTTATTTATACATTTATTTATTTATATTTATTTATTTATTTATTTATTTATATTTATTTATTTATTTATTTATTTATTTATAAAAATGTGCCTGCAGCGATATAAAGACGCAACAAAAGCAGCTGAAGATACAGCAGAGCAAATCAGGTAAACCCTAAACCCTAAACCCTAAACCCTAAACATAAATATATTTTTATATTTATTTTTGTTTATATATGTATATGCATGTGTATTTGTATATGTATATTTTTATTTGTTTATTTTTTTATTTATTTGTTTATATTTATTTATTTATTTATACAGAAAAAAAGAAAAATAATTATTTTCTCTATCTGTACCTCTCTTCATGTTTCCATTTATTTTTTCGTTTTTTTTACATTTATATTTATTCCTCTATTTATATTTGTTCATATTTATTTATTTATTTATTTATACTTATTTATATTTATTTATTTATTTATATTTATTTATTTTTATTTATTTATTTATACAGAAAAAAAGAAAAAGAATTAATTTCTCTGAATTTGCTTGCGAATCTCTATCTCCATATTTCCATTTATTTTTTCGTTTTTTTTACATTTATATTTCTTTCTTTCTTTCTTTCTTTCTTTATATTTATTTATATTTATTTATATTTATTTATATTTATTTATATTTATTTATTTATATTTATTTATTTTTTATTTATTTATTTATACAGAAAAAAAGAAAACGAGTTAATTTCTCTGAATTTACGAGCGAAAGAATTTTTTGATTTTTGCAAAGAAATTCGATTAGCGCGCAATCAAATAGAAAACACAAAAGTAAAGTTTTTTTTTATTTTTTTATTTTTTATTTTTTATTTTATTTATTTATTTATTTATTTATTTTATTTGTTTGTTTATTTATTTATTTATTTATTTATTTATTTATTTTATTTATTTATTTGTTTGTTTATTTATTTTATGTATTTATCTATTTTCGTTTTTGCTTTCTATTTGTTTATTTATTTTATTCATTTGCCTTATCTATATTATTTATTTATTTATTTGTTTATTTATTTATTTGTTTGTTTATTTATTTGTTTGTTTATTTATTTGTTTGTTTATTTATTTGTTTATTCAATTTATCTTATTTTTATTTATTTATTATTTTTTTGTTTTTTTATGTTTTCTATTTACATTTTTATATATTAATTTTGCTTATTTACTGTGTTGTTTTTATTTTTTAATTTTTTTTATTTTTTTGTTTGTTTTTTTGCGTACATCTTTGTTGTATATGTTGGTGTGCTGCTGCAGCAACTGTTGAGCAGCAGCAGCAGCAGCAGCAGCAGCAGCAGCAGCCTAGAGCAGCAGCTGCAGCAGAAAGAAAAAGAAAAAGAAGAAATAAAAATAAAACAAAACGAAATACAAAACAAAATTAATTTCTTAGAAAAAGAAATCAATGAACTCGAAACTAATAAAGACCAAATCGTAAACCCTAAACCCTAAACCCTAAACCCTAGCACTAAACCCTAATCTATATAATATATATAATATATATAGTATAATATAATGTTATATATATATATATATATATATATATATATATATATATATATATATATATGTATTAAACCCTA